TCGACGAAAGTTTGGGTGGAGTTCATGAGGTAGGAGTAGACAGTGGAGAAGTTATAGAGGGGAATGCATGATTCTGAGAGCAGAACAAAACGCTGGTTTGAGACGTCGAGAAGAGCATTCGCCAGGAGGAGGCGCTCTGCCGCGATCAGGCTCACCTTCCCCCATTCTACTTCCTGCAATTAGTACGTGTTGTTGAACAGAAAATAGTAAGAACAATTGGCAGCCACCTATATTGTGGAAATTATTGAGAATTACAATTTAGAAACAAACTGGCTTTACAATATAGTTATTAACACTCATTGGTTATATTTAACTACATTTCACACCCTCAAAAGTCAGTTTTAAAATGGACCATATGAATTCAATTTTTTCACTTTGTACTATCAGGTCTAAAATCTTAACAATTTATGATTTATAGATATCTGATTGTATGATCGTTTAATTAAACTAATGATCTGACATACATTGAGCTCACCTTGAGCTAATGTGGAACTCAACTATGGATCAAAAAATAGATATTTAATTGCACGGTTTTAGTCTGATTGCAGCTAGTGTGGCTAATACTAACCCAAACACGGTTCCACATCTGTCATGCCACCAATTTAACAGAGCATAGACAGTAACAAATAAAAAATTGTGAAAAATTGAAAGTTGGCGACTTCTTATAAAATTTTACTCCAAACAATGCGGAGGTTGTGAAGGTAGGTAGTACAATGTTAATTTGCTTCTGTGGTTTTATTGTCTGTGTAATGAAACTTGAGTAATAATTTCAATTCTGAAAAAAAATCACAGAAATATAGCTTTTACTTAGTGCAGACAATAGGGGGAAAAAAATAACCTGACTTGGAATTCGCCGGCCACCAAAAACTGGAGTTTCGGTGTACGATGAGTGATTGTAGGATGGACTTGAGTGCACATAAATTGAGTACAAACCTTGATGCCCTGCAAAGAACTTCTCCCACAGTGGTGCCAAAACAACAGGGCCCTTTGTCAAGAACATGAAAGCAACTTTTGGAACAAAATGGAATGGATATTCAGGAATCCGCGGAGTTATAGAAGCTCTCCACAGCAGTTCTGCATTGTTCATGTCGTGAAACGCCTTCGGTGGCTTCAGATAGTCCTTCAACCCTGTCCGAGGAGGACTTGACGAAACAAATGTTGTTGGGGAGGTTGCATTTGGCATTCGGGTTCTTGAAATATTGGATGGAGGAGGTGACATATGTGAGAAGGGGAGCTGTGCGAACTGTAGACGGCCAAATGAAAAGTCATTGAGATTGCTAAGTAAAACTCCGAGGGTTACTCCAAAAAGGAAGAGCAGGAAATATGAGAGCAGATTGAGGAGGTGGCGTTGGAGATTGAAGGATTTTGGAAAAAAGATTGGAGAGTTTGGATCTTGAGCCTTCATGTTTACACAAAGAGATAATTATAAAAAGTTTCTAAGAAACTTGTTATAATTAATCTCTGTTAATCAACAAAAATAAGACGATGGGCTGAGAAAATTTGGGATTAAGAAATCAAAGCAATCTGAAACATAAACATATCACATGTTATGAAGATTTGGCCTTGAAATTATCTGCTGTGACGACTTTGTAGTTCACGATGGCATGGGGGATTACCATTGGGATCTGTCTGCAATGAAATACGAATACAAGATTTTAGTTTGCTTTTCGCATATCAAGGAAAATGTATTGCTTTTGTATTAAATTTACAGAAATGAGAATTCCATTTCACCAATATTGTAACCCGAATGAGATTTTTTTTGGGGTGAAGGGATGCTTAATCACATACCATAAACAAAGATTGATTACCTAGTAATTTTAGATTGAGGGTTTATTGTTTTTTTTTTTTTTTTTTTTTTGTCAATTAGTTGTTAATCTATGATTGCATGCCTAATTGTATTTTCTTGGGGGAAAAAAAAAAAAAAAAAAAAAAACACACTTTTATGTGAAATAAATGTGATTGCGCTTGGGTTTAAACCAAAAAATAAAACTTACAACTTGGTATGATGGTGCTTGGAGACATGGTTCCGGTCGTACTAGTTATGGTGGTGTGTTTCGGAATTTCAAGGGCCAGTTCCTTGGAGTCTTTTGTTCTAGCCTTGAGATTCTAGCTCTGGTGCGGCGGAGGTAATAGCTGTAACTAAGGCTATTGAATTAGCTTCAGTTTGGGATTGGAATTTTATTTGGTTGGAAGTTGATTCTGCTTTGGTTCTCAATTGGTTCCTTGGCAATTGAGAGTGGAGGGTAGAAAATGCTTCTTGCACTGAATTTCCCAAATGCATTTTTGGACTTCTCATATTTATCGAGAAGGTAATCAAGTTGCTACTGCCCTTGCAAATTATAGTTCCTCTTCTACGAGTCTTGTTTGGTGAGATTCTCCTCCTAATTTCATTTTGACATTATCATCGTGATTAATTATGTAGCGCTTCCTCATTACCGCTTTAGATAGGTTATCATTTGTTGGCCTTGTTATATCTTGTATTGGTTGTTATAAGTTTTGTTTGTTATGACTTTTATTATGGTCAAGGTTAGACTTTGTGTCTTCTTTGACAAATTATATTTTCCTTCTTTTTAATAAAGCAACCTTATTGTCACTTATCTTTTTCTTTTTTTTTCTCTTTTTTTTTTTTGTTAGGAAAACTCGACGGTACGAGGAAAATTTTATTAATAACAAAAAAATAAGTTACACCTAGTTAGGGGGACATAAACTTTACCCCTCAAAAAACAAAGACAATAAAAAGGAATAACTTTGTGATTTTACTGAAAAAAAATGGTATAATTAATTTGCGAATATTTTCCATGAAAGTAACAATTAAATTTTTCAGACTGCAAACAAAAAAGAACTAATATTGTGACCCTATATGTTGTAATTAGCTAAATTCGAGTTTTTCTTTTCTTTTTTTCTTTCCTTGAAGCAGTAATATGAGTACAGTAGTCAGAATATCTATGTGTTGAAGTGCATGATCTCCGGTGCAAACTTCAGCAGGTTATCCAAAGCAGTTGGCGGGAACTTCCTGGCGAATAAGAAACAAACATCTGTACTCCTCCCACTGTATTCACATTTCCGACCAAAACCATTCCTCAGGCCACTCAAAAGCTCCGCCGTCAGATTTTTGGTGGCGTACTCCGTAGGGTGTGGGCCACCCTTTTCCCAGTCAACCCAGGTTAACGTCCTATTTGCATTTTGTGCTCCAAATTTCATGGACACAAACGTTGGCAAATAATGTTCATCCGAAAAACAGTAGCCTTTGCATTTCATGAACACGGGGAAGTATTTTTGATCCGATACGAATTCAAGGGCGAGGTCTCGATCCGCTTGGAACCACTGCGACCCTTTTCGCCATTGATCGATTGTGATTCCCGGATAGTCACTGAGTCCGTACCGGCCGCGTCCATCTCCATTGGGATTGTCATAGACCTCGACAAAAGTTTGGGTGGAGTTGATGAGGTAGGAGTAGACAGTGGAGAAGTTATAGAGGGGAATGCATGCTTCTGAGAGAAGAACAAAACGCTGGTTTGAGATGTCGAGAAGAGCATTCGCCAGGAGGAGGCGCTCTGCCTCGATCAAGCTCACCGTCCCCCATTCTACTTCCTGCAATTAGTTAGCACATGTTGTAGAACAGAAAATAGTAAGAACAATTGGCATCCACCTATATAGTGGAAATGATTGAGAATTACAATTTAGAAACAATCTGGCTTTACGATAATTACTATTACTAAGACTCCTCGGTTATAAAACTACATATTACATTTTCAAAGTCATGGAGCTTTGTAAAATGGACCACACGACATTAATTTTTGCTTGTTGTACTATCAGGTTTTAAAATTTTATCAATTTAAGATTTATAGATATCTAATTGTACGGTCGTTTAATTAAATTAATGTACTAACATGCATGGAGCTCATCTTTGAGCTGATGTGGAAGTCACACCATGGAGCTCATCTTCGCCTTCACCTCAACTTATGCTTTCTTTACGCTGTACGATAACCAATTGCACGGTTTTAGTATTAGTGCGGCTTGTGTGACTTATACGTAACTCAAAAACGAGCTCCACATCGGTCATACCATCAATTTAACAGAGGACAGACACTAACACATAAAAGACTTAGTGTCAAAATTTGAAAGTTGGCGACTCCCTATGAAATTTAACCCCAGACAATGCGGAGGGTGTAAAGGTAGTCAAATATTAATTGGCTTCTTTGGTTTTATAATCCGTGTGATGAAACTTGACTATTCAATTCTGAAAAGTATCACAGAAATATAGCTTCTACTTAGTGCAGACAATAGGAAAAAAAAAACTGACCTGACTCGGAATTCTCCGGCCACGAAAAACTGGAGTTTCGGTATACGATGAGTGATTGTAGGACGGGCTTGAGTGCACATAAATTGAGTACAAACCGTGATGCCCTGCAAAGAACTTTTCCCACAGTGGTGCCAGAACAACAGGCCCCCTTGTCAAGAACATGAAAGCAACTTTTGGAACAAGACGGAATGGATATTCAGGAATCCGCGGAGTCATCGAAGCTCTCCACAGCAGTTCTGCATTGTTCATGTCGTGAAACGCCTTCGGCGGCTTCAGATAGTCCTTCAACCCTATCCGAGGAGGACTTGACGAAACGGACGTGTTGGTCGCAACAACGGATGTTGCAGGAGAGGTTGCATTTGGCATTAGGATTTCTGTAATATTGGATGGAGGAGGAGGTGACACAGGTGAGAAGGGGATCTGAGCGAATTGTAGGCTGCCAAATGAAAGGTCCTTGAGATTGCTAAGTATAACTCCGAGGGTTAATCCGAAAACGAAAAGCAGGAAATATGAGAGGTAATTGAGGAGGTGGCGTTGGAGATTGAAGGATGTTGGAAAAAAGCTCGGAGACTTAGGATCTTGAGCCTTCATGTTACACACAGATAGTTATAAAAAGTTTCCAAGAAACTTGTTATAATTAACCTCTGTTAATCATCCAAATTAAGACGATTAGCTGAGAAAATTTGGGATTGAGAAATCAAAGCAATCTGAAACATAAACATATCAGATGGCATGAAGATTTGGCCTTGAAATTATCTGCTGTGAGGACTTTGTAGTTCACGATGGCATGGGGATACCCTTTGGACCTGCCTGCAACGAAATATTAAATACAAGATTTTAGTTTACTTTTTGTATATAAGGTAAATATTGTAATTTTTATTTATTTATTATTATTATCAATTTAAGGATTTGTTTAATATTTGAGACTTGTTTTCTTCCAAATTTTTAATATTTGAGATTAATTGACACACCCCGACCGAGATCAGGGCGTGCTGGCCGTCACACGAAGGTGACGTAACCATGTGCGCGTGCGGAAGCTATTAAGATGGTAATATAAAAGTACGAATAATTAAAAACCTAAAAGCATACAAAGTACTAGTGTATGTGAGACACAATTCAGAGCAAGTCTACAACAGTCCAAAAGGAAAAGATACGACATATGTACACCCGAAGGTGACCCTACAATGGTGAGTGTCTGTCAGAAATGCTGGGGCGCCCTCTGGGATAAACCACCGAACTTGCTAGACCTCTAGAACCTGGAGGGGCGAAAAACAAAAGCGTGAGTGGGCAAAAACAAAGTTCTTTGAAAACTCTTTAGCAAAACACATTCTAACCCCTCGCCGTAAAACCTGTATACTTCCCAGAAAATGAACATATATACGTATGTATAGATATGTCAATCATGCTCCACATATGCCATTTATGCTCACAATATGCCATTCAGAAACTCATAATCAAATATAAATGCTCAAACGTAAATCACATCAATATCGTATAATCTAGCAGCCGGGAGTCACCTAACGTGACCTGTACGGCTGTAGATAGAGCTCCACGCTCAACTCAATCACTGAATCTGCACACGAGTCGGAACCACCTATTGTGGTCTGTACGACAAGCTGGGTGTAATATATATGTATGCTCTAGTGCTACGATCACGTGAAGCTGGGCGATAAATCGCGGGTCACCTACAAGTCGGAACCACCTAATGTGGTCTGTACGACAGGCTTGCACCTATCTTGGATCCAAGGCGAGCATGCGGTGCTGGTGAACATACACGTGAAGGCTGGGCCCTGGCCTCGGGCGGGAGCACTAACACCGGGGGTGCAGATTATGAACTCTCTAAGCATCTCAAACTACTATTGCATAATAAACAGGAATGCATAACCACCTGAATACCGCTTACCTAGCACTTACCTGTGCATCCACCGCACCAAATGCACATGTATATATGTATGTATATCACCAATAATACATGCAATGATGCGTAAACAACATTCATATAATGCATGGCATAAAACAAATAACATTTTCTATTTAATTTCTGGGAATATAACTGTATATAGGTATATACGGAAAACAAAAGCCCACTCACTGATAATTAGAAGGGTCGTAGCCCCCCTGCCTCGAGTGCGTACGCTCGTCCTCGGAAAACGAATCACCTATACGCGACAAAGTTACGAAAACATTAATTTAAAAGCACCTATGCAACTTCTCGTAATAACTTCTCATACATTGCTCAAATTGGACAATTGAATATACCAATGTGATCTACACAACCTCAGGATCACACCCATATTTTTAAAATAATTTTTGGACCACGCACGCGCCCCCACGCGCCTGACCACGCACGGACCTACGCGCCCCCACGCGCGGCCCACGTGCACTGCACACTGACGGCGTCAACTGACGCCGTCAGGAATATTCCGTTATCCTGACGGAATATTCCCTAACTGACGCCGTCACTGCCGTTAGGAATATTCCGTTAAACTTAACGGAATATTCCCCTTTCTTCTCCGGCCAGTCGCCGTCGCCGGCGCCGCCGCCGTCGCCGGCGCCGTCGCCGGAAAACTGGGAATTTTTCAAACCTTGTTTTCTCCTTCGTTTTTCAACCATTTTTCACGTTCTTTATACCAAAATGAAGCCTAGGACTAGTAGAACAACGTTAGACTAGTTTTAAGGCCTAAAAACCACACGATCATACCTGCAACAACGATCAAAGTTCGGCCAACTTTGAACCTAGCCTTCCCAACGTCCAAATTCACCCAACGAACCACTCCCAAGCTCCTGGGAACCTCACAAACACAACTACAAGCTTAGAATCTCCCAAAACAAGCTAGATTAATTGTGCATGAACAGTGTTCAAATCGGCCAAAGCGATATCGACGTGAAAACGTCAAAGTTCTTACCTGGAAATGGCACCCTTGAACTCCTCTCAGCTCCACGAACACGATGGTGGTCTTGGTTTCTTGTTTGGTGAAGGTTTGAGTTGGTTTGTGTGTGTGGCCGTGTGTAGAGGAAGAAGAAGAAGAGGAAACTCGGGGAGAGAGAGAGAGAGAGAGACTGAGACAGAGACAGAGAGACAAAGAGTGAGGGAATGAGGGAGGGAATCCCGGGAAAGTGAGGGTGAGGTGTGAGTGTGTGTGTGGTCCTACAACACCACACTACACAACACTTAACGTATACAAACAAATTAGGGTAAAATTGTCATTTTAAATGTACGTCTCGTTAGTTTCGGGACGGGATGTTACAACCTACCCTCCTTAATAGAATTTCGTCCCGAAATTCAAAACAACCAAAATACACCCTTACTGGTCAAAGAACAATCTAGGATACAAGTCCCTCATTCTATTTTCTGTCTCCCATGTCGCTTCTTCAACCGAGTGATTCCTCCACAGAACTTTCACCAAATTCACTGTTTTGTTCCTCAGAACCTTCTCTTTCCAATCCAAGATCGTTAACGGTTCCTCGTTGTACGTCAAATCTGGATTTATCTCTAACGGTTGAGGAGGTATCACATGTAACGGATCGGCAACATAGTGTCGGAGCATAGACACGTGAAAAACGTTATGCACTTTAGCTAACTCCGGAGGCAACTCCAACCTGTAAGCTACCTCACCAACTCGTTCTGTGACCGTGTACGGTCCAATGTACCTGGGACTCAACTTCCCTTTCTTTCCAAACCGCACAACACCTCTCCACGGTGAAAGCTTCAGAAATACCCAATCTCCGACCTTATACACTCTGTCCGTAGCATGTCTATCTGCTAAACTTTTCTGCCTGTCCTGAGCTGCTTTCAGGTTAGATCTAATTACCTGAACATTTTGAGTAGTCTCCTCAACAATCTCCGGACCTACTAAAACTCTTTCGCCAACCTCTGACCAACACAACGGAGTGCGACAAGATCTACCATACAAGGCTTCAAATGGCGCCATGCCAATGCTCGAATGGAAACTGTTGTTGTAGGCAAATTCCATCAAGTCTAATCGCTGGTGCCAAGCATCACTGAACTGTAACACTGATGCTCGCAGCATATCTTCCAAAGTCTGAATAGTTCTCTCGGACTGTCCATCCGTCTGTGGATGATACGCCGTACTGTAAAGTAGTCTCGTACCCAAAGCTTCCTGAAAAGCTACCCAAAACTTCGATGTGAATCGTGGATCACGATCCGAGACAATACTTACAGGGACACCATGGTACTTTACAACCTTCGAGATAAACAATTCCGCTAACCGGTTCAAAGAATACTTCTCTCTCACTGGAATGAAATGTGCCGACTTAGTGAGCCGATCAACGATCACCCAAATGCCATCAAAGCCATTATGTGTACGCGGCAACTTGTACACAAAATCCATAGTGATATTTTCCCACTTCCACTCTGGAACGGGAAGCGGCTGCAACAATCCAAACGGCTTCTTTCTTTCTGCTTTAACCTGTTGACAAACAGCACAACTGCTCACATACTCAGCTATCTCCCTTTTTATACCCGGCCAATAGTAAAATGGTCGAATGGTATGATACATTTTAGTTGCCCCTGGGTGCATGGCATAAGCCGAGATATGTGCTTCATCGAGAATTTCCTTCTTCAACTCCACATTACTAGGCACGAACATTCTACCCTCTAACATCAACATGCCATCAGAATCACGAACTCTGAGGTCTCGCCTCCTTCCTTGATCTCGAGCTCGAATTAGTTCTTGAGTCTGTTCATCAGCTACTTGAGCTTCAAGCACCCGATCAACTAAGATTGGCCTAACTTGAAAATTAGCAAGTAATGCCACATCTCGATCTTCTGCTTCTAACCTTACTCCCGTAGCACGCAAGTCCACCAAAAGAGGAATACGACTAGCGTACAATGCATTGATACGACCATGTGACTTCCTGCTAAGTGCATCGGCTACTACGTTCGCACGACCAGGGTGATAATCAATCGTGCAATCGTAATCGCTGAGCAACTCCAACCACCTTCGTTGACGAAGATTAAGTTCCTTCTGGGTGAAGAGATACTGAAGACTCTTGTGATCTGTGAAGATCCTACACTTCTCTCCGTAAAGATAGTGTCTCCACAACTTCAACGCAAAGATGATAGCAGCCAATTCCAAATCATGTGTAGGGTAATTCATCTCATGGGGTTTCAACTGCCGCGAAGCATAAGCAATCACCCTACCATGCTGCATCAATACACATCCCAGACCATTCAAGGAAGCATCGCTATAAACCTCGAAATCACCACTATCGTCCGGAAGTGCCAAAACAGGTGCATTGGTAAGACAATGCTTCAACTGCTGGAAACTTTGCTCACACTTATCATTCCATTCAAACTTAACATCTTTCCTTGTTAACCTCGTCAGTGGCAAGGCAATCACCGAAAAATCCTTAACGAATCTCCGATAGTATCCCGCCAAACCAATGAAACTTCTCACCTCAGTGACGGTTCGTGGTTGCTCCCAACTCTCCACAGCTGCAACCTTTTGAGGATCAACAAGAATACCTTGAGCAGAAATGATGTGCCCCAAAAATGCGACTTGATCTAACCAGAACTGGCACTTGGTAAACTTAGCATACAATTGGTGTTCTCTCAACCTTTTCAACACCAAAGTAAGATGTCGGACATGCTCCGCTTTGGACTTAGAATACACCAGAATATCATCAATGAAGACAATAACAAATCTATCCAGGTAAGGCTGAAATACCCGGTTCATTAAATCCATAAAAGCTGCTGGTGCATTCGTCAACCCAAATGGCATAACCAGAAACTCGTAATGACCGTAACGAGTCCTGAACGCCGTCTTAGGAACATCATCCCTACTGATCTTCAGCTGATAGTACCCAGACCTCAAGTCTATCTTAGAAAATACACAAGCACCTCTCAGCTGATCAAACAAATCGTCGATACGAGGCAATGGATAACGGTTTTTAATCGTCACCCGATTCAATTGTCTGTAGTCGATACACAGCCTCAAAGTTCCATCTTTCTTTCTCACAAACAACACTGGAGCTCCCCAAGGTGAAGTACTAGGCTGAATGAATCCCTTATCCACTAATTCCTGTAACTGCACTTTTAATTCCCTTAACTCAGCAGGAGCCATACGATAAGGAGTTAAAGAAATAGGATTGGTACCTGGAAGCAACTCAACATTGAACTCCACATCTCGATCTGGGGGTAAACCAGGTAAATCCTCAGGAAAAACATCAGGGAAGTGTCTAACCACTCTCACATCCTCAATTCTGCTAGGAACGGTCTCTTCCAGCACCACATGAGCTAGATACCCCTGACAACCTTTAGACAACATCTTTTTCGCTCGCAAAGCCGAAATAACACCATGTCTTACCCCACTCTGCTCACCCACAAAAGTAACCTCAGGTAATCCAGGACGGTGAAACGTAACTACTTTCCCGTAACAATCAATGTTGGCACGATAGAAGTGCAACCAATCTGTGCCCAATATCACATCAAAATCGACAATATCTAACGGGATTAGATCAGCGGGCATAACAACACCCTCTACTATCACTGGACATCCTGGGTACATACAATCTACAACACATCTCTCTCCTCTAGGCATAGCGAATTCTAAATCGTACCCTAGAGGTGTGGGGCGAGGTTGCGTCAATTGAGCAAATGTATGAGAAATAACGGAATGTGTAGCTCCACAATCAATTAAGACTCTAGCAAAATAACCAAGAATATTTAACGTACCCATTATCAAGTCCGGGTTGTTCTGAGCATCCTGCAGGGAAATATTGTGAATACGCCCCTGGCCCTGCTGTCGTCCACCACGACCTCTGCTCGCATGAACACCGCGACCTTGAGCTCCACGCCCCTGACTGGGCTGACCCATCTGTCTCGAAGATCCTGCACTACTAGTGGCATTCTCACTCTGCTGATATTGTCCTCCTTGGTACCACTGAGAACCACCAACTGGAGCTGGAGGATACGGCATGTAGTTGCTGGGATACAAGGGATAACCACCTTGTGAATACGGATCCTGGGGGTACTGATACGGTCCCGGGGCATAGGGAACAGCATCACCCTGATAATGATAGGCACCACCTCTACCTGCTTGACCATAATTACTCGGACCCTGGATTTGCCGAATCGGTGCAGGTGGCGGCATAAAGGTCTGCTGCGGCTTCTGCTGTTGACTCTGGGGACAATTCACCGCTCTATGTCCCACCTGTCCACACGTGAAACAACCACCGCTAAACTGCCTGCACTCGCCGAAGTGTCGGTTATTACACCTACGGCAAAATGGAATTCGGTTTCGGCCACCATCACCTTGTCTCTGGCCTCGAGCACTTCCATAAAACCTACCTCCGCGTCCTTGTCCAGAGGCACTGAAACCACCACTAGACGAACTTGAACTCGCACCACCCCTTTTAAAGTTCTGAGTTTGACGAGGCCCAAGCGATGTTTGACCTTTTCCTTTGTCGTCTTTCTTCTGATTGCCGTTTTTCTCTTCGTCACTATCACTTGACATATTCTCTGAGTCCTCAACCCTCAATAGTATCTCATAGAACTCCTGGTAGGACTCACAGTGAGTAGTCGTTACCATAGAACGCCATTTCTTCTTTGTGCCCAAGCGAAAACGACGAAGCATCTCCGCCGGATTACCAGCGACATCAGGATAGTAACGAGACAAATCAGTGAACTTACGATAATACTCGTTAGCCGTCATCTTTCGTTGTTTCAACTCAGTGAATTCCTGTTTCTTACGGTCGATATACTCAGGGGGTACAAATCTCCTTTGAAACACATCCTTGAAAACATTCCAATCGGTTCTCTGAGCTGGAGTCAACATACGAAGTTCTTGCTCCCACCAAGCTGCAGACTCCATCTCCAGAAACCATGACGTTGTCTCAACCCACCTTTCCATAGGAAGGTTCCCCTGGTTATGTAACACACGAAAAGTCTTCTCTATGTGTTCCAACCAACGTTCTGCACCTTCATGACCCTCGTTACCTTTAAACTTATCCAACTTCAGGTTATACATAGTCTCCAGAGGAGTCCTCTGGGGAGGGCGCATCACTGTTTGAAGGGCTGTAGCAATCACTTCCCCCAACTGAGTAAGATCAGGGAAATTAGGCTCGTCTGAGCGACGTGGTTCCCGACGAGGCGGCATGATTCTGACAGAAGACACCAACTATTAGAATACTCACAAAGACACAGGACTGCCAAACCTAGGCTCTGATACCAAGCTGACACACCCCGACCGAGATCAGGGCGTGCTGGCCGTCACACGAAGGTGACGTAACCATGTGCGCGTGCGGAAGCTATTAAGATGGTAATATAAAAGTACGAATAATTAAAAACCTAAAAGCATACAAAGTACTAGTGTATGTGAGACACAATTCAGAGCAAGTCTACAACAGTCCAAAAGGAAAAGATACGACATATGTACACCCGAAGGTGACCCTACAATGGTGAGTGTCTGTCAGAAATGCTGGGGCGCCCTCTGGGATAAACCACCGAACTTGCTAGACCTCTAGAACCTGGAGGGGCGAAAAACAAAAGCGTGAGTGGGCAAAAACAAAGTTCTTTGAAAACTCTTTAGCAAAACACATTCTAACCCCTCGCCGTAAAACCTGTATACTTCCCAGAAAATGAACATATATACGTATGTATAGATATGTCAATCATGCTCCACATATGCCATTTATGCTCACAATATGCCATTCAGAAACTCATAATCAAATATAAATGCTCAAACGTAAATCACATCAATATCGTATAATCTAGCAGCCGGGAGTCACCTAACGTGACCTGTACGGCTGTAGATAGAGCTCCACGCTCAACTCAATCACTGAATCTGCACACGAGTCGGAACCACCTATTGTGGTCTGTACGACAAGCTGGGTGTAATATATATGTATGCTCTAGTGCTACGATCACGTGAAGCTGGGCGATAAATCGCGGGTCACCTACAAGTCGGAACCACCTAATGTGGTCTGTACGACAGGCTTGCACCTATCTTGGATCCAAGGCGAGCATGCGGTGCTGGTGAACATACACGTGAAGGCTGGGCCCTGGCCTCGGGCGGGAGCACTAACACCGGGGGTGCAGATTATGAACTCTCTAAGCATCTCAAACTACTATTGCATAATAAACAGGAATGCATAACCACCTGAATACCGCTTACCTAGCACTTACCTGTGCATCCACCGCACCAAATGCACATGTATATATGTATGTATATCACCAATAATACATGCAATGATGCGTAAACAACATTCATATAATGCATGGCATAAAACAAATAACATTTTCTATTTAATTTCTGGGAATATAACTGTATATAGGTATATACGGAAAACAAAAGCCCACTCACTGATAATTAGAAGGGTCGTAGCCCCCCTGCCTCGAGTGCGTACGCTCGTCCTCGGAAAACGAATCACCTATACGCGACAAAGTTACGAAAACATTAATTTAAAAGCACCTATGCAACTTCTCGTAATAACTTCTCATACATTGCTCAAATTGGACAATTGAATATACCAATGTGATCTACACAACCTCAGGATCACACCCATATTTTTAAAATAATTTTTGGACCACGCACGCGCCCCCACGCGCCTGACCACGCACGGACCTACGCGCCCCCACGCGCGGCCCACGTGCACTGCACACTGACGGCGTCAACTGACGCCGTCAGGAATATTCCGTTATCCTGACGGAATATTCCCTAACTGACGCCGTCACTGCCGTTAGGAATATTCCGTTAAACTTAACGGAATATTCCCCTTTCTTCTCCGGCCAGTCGCCGTCGCCGGCGCCGCCGCCGTCGCCGGCGCCGTCGCCGGAAAACTGGGAATTTTTCAAACCTTGTTTTCTCCTTCGTTTTTCAACCATTTTTCACGTTCTTTATACCAAAATGAAGCCTAGGACTAGTAGAACAACGTTAGACTAGTTTTAAGGCCTAAAAACCACACGATCATACCTGCAACAACGATCAAAGTTCGGCCAACTTTGAACCTAGCCTTCCCAACGTCCAAATTCACCCAACGAACCACTCCCAAGCTCCTGGGAACCTCACAAACACAACTACAAGCTTAGAATCTCCCAAAACAAGCTAGATTAATTGTGCATGAACAGTGTTCAAATCGGCCAAAGCGATATCGACGTGAAAACGTCAAAGTTCTTACCTGGAAATGGCACCCTTGAACTCCTCTCAGCTCCACGAACACGATGGTGGTCTTGGTTTCTTGTTTGGTGAAGGTTTGAGTTGGTTTGTGTGTGTGGCCGTGTGTAGAGGAAGAAGAAGAAGAGGAAACTCGGGGAGAGAGAGAGAGAGAGAGACTGAGACAGAGACAGAGAGACAAAGAGTGAGGGAATGAGGGAGGGAATCCCGGGAAAGTGAGGGTGAGGTGTGAGTGTGTGTGTGGTCCTACAACACCACACTACACAACACTTAACGTATACAAACAAATTAGGGTAAAATTGTCATTTTAAATGTACGTCTCGTTAGTTTCGGGACGGGATGTTACATTAATGCACTAGAAAATACAAGAAAAGAAAAGAAACAGAGATTTATTACCTTAGTTAAAATAGTTTTGTATAAAAAATAAAAAATAAAAGATTTCAAAAGATTTGACTACCATAGTCCTTCCAAGACTTTTCAAGAGTTTTGATTTTTCAATGCCAAATTGTGGCATAAGTTTTTATTACATGCGTGTTTGATTTTATTTTTGATTTGCTAATATTATAACAGGAAAGTTTTTCTACTTTTTCTTCATTTGGAAAACACATACGATTCCTTGAGCTTTAAACAAAAATGAATTAAAGGCATAAGATGATTTAAGTCCATAATCTTCAATGCCATGTTTTGATTAGGATCCATCTGATTGTCCCCCATCAGCCTCTTTCCCTTAATTGCATGATGAACACAAAGGGTTCAAAGATATTTTAAAACGTTTTGTGGCAATTAGTACTTAGCAAAAATCTTAGCAATGGCACGTGGAATTTTTAGGTTATTTTGAATCGTAACTAATTACATTCCTATAATATATACAAGACTAGGAATTTTTCGCGACTATTACACTCAAGACTTTCCGTTTAATTTCAGTCCACAATTCCGTCAAATATATGCAACAGGTCAAAGCCTGTGAAATTGGGCTTCTGAAGCAATTTAACCCACCATCAACACTTTTGCTTTCAAGAGAAACAAACACAAAAATAGCTTACCAGAAATGGAAGAATGAAGAGATTTAAATTATAAAAAAAAATTTAATTTGGATAACCATTTTCTCTTTACTATACACTTAATCAAAGTGATAATGACTATAAATTTGTTGGACCGCGACGTAGATCTTCGACATCATAAATTGAAGCAGTTTAAAATATCAAATTCTATCTGTTGAATCGCATGAGCTTTGGCACAAACCTCAACAGTCTCTCCAGTGTACCAGGCCCAAACTTTCTAGCAAACAAGAAACAAACATTGGAAACTCTTCCATTATATATACATGCAGTCCCATTTCTCAAGCTATTCAAAACCTCAACCGTCACATCCGTTCTAGTAAACTTGGCTGGATGTGGGCCGCCCCTCGACCAGTCAACCCAGGTCAAACTCCTATTTGAATTCTTCTGTGCAAATTTTATGTTCACATATGTTGGCAAGTAATGCTCATCTGCGTAGCATGAGCCCCTACAGTAAGTTTGGAACAGCGGGAAGTATTTTTTATCCGAGACAACTTCAATGGCAAGGCTTCTGTCAATTTCAAACCATTGCGACCCTTTTCGCCATTGACTCAACGAGATTTGTGGATACATGTGAGAACTGTACCTGCCACGCCCGACCGAGCTTGGATCATCATAGACTCCCACAAAAGTTTCATTGGAGCGGATGAGGTAATTGTAGACAGTGGGGAAGTTGTGGAGGGGAATGCATGACTCTGAGAGCAGAATGAACCGTTGGTTTGAGATATCGAGAAGAGCATTCGCCAATAGGCGGCGCTCGGCCTCAATCATGTTAACCTTTCCCCATTCTACTTCCTGCAGTACATGTAGAACGTATAAAAATTAGTAAGAAGAACAATCTCGCAATTAAATGAACAAGCTGCCAGAAGAAGAAACTCATCGAGTGCTGCTACGTGCGCTTACAATGCCGTTTTGTGAATCTACTAGGGTGAATAAATGTGGCCAATTAGACAAATGGTCCATGTCATGCTCTTACTTTGCATTAACACATTTTGAATCAAGTACGAATTAACCCCGTTACTGAAAGGTTTTCGACACATCTGTGACGGTAATCGATCAAATCACATGATTATTTAAGAGATCTAAGATGATGTGAAGGCATGAGCTCCTAGACCAAATATGTGCTTTTAAGTAGGTGGATTGTCTAAAACAGAGCAGGCAATCTGTCAAGCATTCGATCTTATTCTGCCAACAAGCTTTGTAGTTTAAACTTTTTAGTCAATCAACTTCACACTCTAATGTCATTGTTTAATGGATTCTTAATCTTTCTTTCAAAACTAATGTTCCCTCCAAATTTCAACTCTGCGGCCTCAATTTATTTACGAAATTGTTATTAGTACTCTAAAATCGTCACCAACG